AGAAATAGATAGATATCTTTCTTTATTCTGGATTCTTAATCAATTTGACATTGTTCTTCCTTAACAGTCCAGATGGTCCAATTAACAGTTAAAACATGCTTAAAATAAAAAAAAAATCAAGAATGATAAACAAAACACAATAAAAATTGATAAACAAAAAAAGCAAGAATAAAGTATTATAAAAATCAAATTTTGAAAGAATGAATATATTAAACTATGAGTATCTGGGGAAACAATTTTCCACAGTTTAACTGAGTGGTATTTGAATGTTTTCTTCCCAAATTCATTGTTCCATTTTGGTCAAAAATATAAATGAAGTTTTTACAGTTTTCTGATGGGTTTGTTTACTTAATATTAAAAAACATAAAAGTTGATGATATATTTAAATACGGTAGTTGAAGTAATCACAGACTTTGTGTCTATACTTTTGCAATTTGCTTCACCTTTGGTTGGAGTTTAAAAAAAATAAATAAAAATCACCAACATCACTTCACTAGAGGGTTAAACTGAAAATCTAATAATGTTTAATGGGGCATAAGAAGGGGTAGGGTAGAAGATAAGTTACACCAAATCTGATTTAGTGCAACAAACACATATACAGTAGGCTTATCGCCAAGAACAATCCAATTCACAGGTTAGGCTCAAGGGATACTAAAAGAACATGCAAAGGGATTTTTACCAAGGATTCTCCAATTATGTCAATCATTCTGACGAAAAAAAATGTACAGGAAAAACGCTGAATGACCGCATGACCTAAATGACAAGTGTACAAGATAAAAATTATTGTTTTTCCTGAGGTTGCAGAGGGGTACCTGTAGTCACTGACTGATGGAAATTACACTTATTGCTTGTAACAGGTAGATGACAGTACATAAGACAAGCTGACGAGAGGTAGCTGAGTTGTGTAGGAATAATGAGCACAATATTATTATGTTTTATCAATTTATATTTCAAAAAGATAATTAAAGATTAAGAATTTTAATAATATTAATAATAATAATAATAATAATACTTTATTTGTCCTCATTCTAATTGGAATCGAAAATTTGGGCTGGCCACTGAGGACCTGCAGTGCCACAGTGCAGCTCAAACCAACTTAACTACAACATAAAACAGACGCATACGGATTCTGTACGTCTAGTATTTTGTGATTCACTGAAGGCTGAATAATGGATTACCTGTGATGGAAGATACATTATACACTCCAACAAAAAAATTATTCAAATAAACAAATAATTATAACACAACACTATGATAATATTACAATATAATACTTTTTATACTTATAGCACTATAGTTAAAATATAACTTTATTTAAACTTTATAATGTAGGCCATCCAAAATACTAGAAGTTTGCAAAAAAAGTTGAGAAGAAAGAAAAGAATAACTGAATTGAAAAAAAATATGCAAATTTTTTCACAGACTATGAAGCAAGGCAGTTTGTGTGGCATTTGTGGTTCTTGTTCTCAACCTTAAGGTTGGTGGTTCAATCGATTAAGCTGCCAGTGCATTTTGTTTACTGTATGTCCTTGAGCAAGGCACTTTTCCCTATGCTATCTCTCTCCACCCAGTGGCTTGAATGGGTATAGATATGATGTGGCATTGAATGTATTATTCTGTTCATGACAAGTTATGCTCCCAAAGAGAGTGGAGAAGGTTGCAATCTGTTAATGCTCTCTCCACACTATCAAATTTTTATATGACAAATATGTCTGATGTGCCCATGATGATGATGTCACATTTATTTGCCACATAAAACTTCTTAGTGTGGATAGAGTTGTATGGTTTGCAAATAGTGAGCTTTCGATTGCACGACGACGGTAGGACGTAGGACGTAATGACGTCACTAAAAGTCATCTGCGCATTAAGGTCACCTCATCGAGTAGATTCTGGAACGCATTTTGGCCAAATCTACGTATGCAGAGAACATAGGACACCAGGTAGGATGGCCATGCATGAGTGATTCTGGAATGCATTTTGGCCAAATCTATGTATGCAGAGAACATAGGACACCAGGTAGGATGGTCACGCATGAGTGATTCCGTTCTAGCCTTGCGTCGTTGCACAAATCGCAAGCTCCCTAATACTGGAAATGGACCAAATAACCAGGGGTAATAATATGGCCGTATTGCATCTTTGCAAAGGCATGGCGAAAATTCCTAATATTATTATCAGTCATGTATGGAGATTAAAGTTTAACTCCCTAAAAAAAAGCCCTTTTCACATGTTTTTCAATGTGTGAGCCATGTCATAGGCCTTTAATAAAAGATTTAAAGTTCCTTATATTCCTATACATTATTATTATATGAAATATATCAACAAGTATCTGTGGTGGGTCCAGGAATTTGAAGTAGAGGAGGCTCAGAGAGGAACTTCGATAGATGGAGGGTCTATAACACCTCAGCCCCACCAAGGTTGGGGTTGAGGTAAGAAAATGTATAATAATGTCACCACTAGATGGCCGGAAATAGCATTCTCAGATTTAAAATTTGTGTTAATTTCCTTTATTTCTCCAATTTTTTACAATTTCGAAAATTTTGTGGGGAGGCCCAGCCTGGGCCGGCTGGGCACCCCCTTGAATCCGCCCGAGTATAGAACTGCAAAAGGTCCGGCTACCAGATTTTGCATGCACACAATGGAACCTTAAAAAAACAGCACTGCCACAAGATAGGTGCCCTATTGGATTTTGAAGAGAGTTCGCTCGAAAGTCTATTTTTACGGACACACCCCTTCGTGGCAGCACTTTTGAAACAGGAATACCAACAAAACCACAGGAGTCGGACTTGCAGTTCAACACTCTTTGGATATATAATGTTAATGAATTACAATGCTTTCATCACTTTAAGTCCACATAAAAGCTGTATGGATGCCAAAGTTGAACAAGCCCTTCTCACATGAATTATGAACATGGTTTTTACTGTATGAGTCATGAATATGTCTTTAATAAAAGATTTGAAGTTCATTGTATTGTGGCTTCTGAAAATTATGTTTCTGGAGATGGGGATGAACTGTTTTCTTCTTTCTAATTGACAAGAGGATTTACCGTATATCCTATATCATTTTGTATTTTGCATCGGATATTTAGCGAGCTGTATGGCCGGAGTTACCCTTGTGTACTGGTCTATTCAGCCACTGTTGTGGACAGACGAGAGTAGCTGGTACCAGTTCACCGGGTAGCTCAGACACAAAGAGACCCTTCGGGGAGAAGCCTGTACTGTAAGAGCTAGTTCACACCTCAAGCGCTTTGAGACGGTTTCGGTATAAAGCGCTATATAAATAAAGTACATTACACTAATTACATTACATCCCATACAAAAAATTAAAAAAAAATTAGATAGTAACTTGCTCATTTTGAAGTAACATAAAAATGATCAACTTGAACATAGATATTAGTGTATTTAAAAAATGTTAACCCATCATTTTTACAGCAAAAAAGTATAGAAACACTTCTGCTAGGCTAAGCTAGAGTTTTTATTATTTTTATAATAATTATTAAAAATCAGGGTACATACTTTTTTAAATCCAATAATTTCTATGCTCAAGTTAATAATTTCTATGTTACTGCAAAATGAGCAAGTTAATTTCAAAAATTATTTTTATGTTTGTTTTGTCATTTTCAGGGGAAAATACATCTGTAAGGGCAAGATCGTAACATTCACTTTCAATAAAAAAGGGAAAAAGTTGACAAGAAATATTAAAAATAGTACAAGTTTGGACGTCAAGAATACAAATATGAAAATACATGATATGGGATGGAATATCTTATATACTAATTGAAAACTTCCAGACAAAAGTCATTTTTTTCACTGCAAGTTAATTATTGCTATTTCATTCTAAAAAATCTGCTGTTTATTATTAACTTCCGACAGTTTTTCGGGGTAATAATTTAAAAAGACCGACTATGATTGGTCAAAATATCCCGATCAAAAATTGCATGCTGATTAAGTCAAGTCAATTATTGAGGCAGTCAATATGACCAATCACTGACTTGTGTATTATATGCGACATAATTATTTTGAGCATTCTTTTGAACTGTATTTCTTAATGTACTTTTTCTTTTTCCGTTTTGTGAAGTATTCATGCTTTACAATTCTGTCTTTTTAATTCTCTACCATGTGAACTTCCTTTCAATCATGACTTCACTCTCCCACACTCAACCCAACATATCTTGATACCACCTTATACTGTTCATATACATAAATTTTGTCCTGCAAAAGGCTTTCTCTGAATTGTTAAATTAGAAGTTATGTTACTAATTTACTGTTTTGAAAGAGGAATTCTTTTAAAATTATTATTTCATTCTTAATATTTATTATTATATGTTTATTATTAAATTATTATAATTATTAATATTACCAAATATGATGCATACCATTCCAAAAATATCAATATATTCTTATTCTCCACATTGTAAGCTTTGAAATGATAGGTCATTATACTGGGGAACTGACTTAATATTGCCAAACTTTGAATATTTAGTATAATTAGGGCTTGCATTCTTATGCTAATGTCTCTTATACACATCTAGATGTGTATAAGAGACAGGGTTAATAGAGGTTATCAGAAGGTTGCAACACAGTTTGTAACAAATCCAACAAATTACAAAGCAATGGATATATCCTATTTATGCAAATTAGAAGTTGGTTGTAATTAGCATACACAGTTTTCTGGGTCTCTAACATTTTAATGTTAATATAAAGTTGTGTTGTAACAGTGTTTACTGCATCCTTAGCATAATATGCAACTTGGAGCCCTCCAATCCCTGCAGAGCATTTTTTTTTCTTGTCATGTAGGCAAAATCACATAAATTTAATTCCAAATCATTATTTCTTTAGGTTGGCCTACCTATTTATATTTCAGTGTAACAAGGGCAGATATGTGTTTGTGGACACATCATTCGCATGTGACCTGCCCTAGAAACTATATCAATGATCCTGGCCTTTAAAGCTGAAAATCCATACACCACACTTTCAACAAATTTTGAATAAGTATAGACTTACCTCGTAAGAATCATCCGAGATACCACGCTGACATAGAAAACTTGAGGTACGACTTAACATCTTCAAAATTTCTCAAAGTTACTCTTGGAATGAGCAGGCCTATTCTTTAAAATCTACGTTAAAATCCAATAAACGAAGTCCAACTCTCCAGCGAAAAAAATGAATGCCGAAAACTGTGCATATGGGAAGGAAATCTAAAGTAAACTTCCACTTTTTCTATCGTGTTGCTCTAGATATCAAAAACGGAAGTGGTCTGAAATAAAAACTGACCTACTATGCTGCAAATCTTAATATTCCACGTCTAGCCGAAAAAGATTAGTTGCATTGCGACAAATTGTACAGTATATTCTACATTGGCAAAAAATTGTAATGTAACTGCAATTTATATCTTTAAAAAATCTCTGGTTGGCTTTTTTCAAAGTTTAAAAAAAAAATATATTCAAATATTCAATTAATTTTACATTTGTCCACACACCGAATACAATAACTGGTAAAATATTTACGGAAATACAATTTAATGGGATATGCAAGCAAGTCTTCCACTTCCGTTTCTTGATTTTACAATCTGCAGTTTTCGCCAAAAAGATGCGATATATTGTTTTTGCAATCCAGAATTATCACATTACCATTTGTCCATAATTGGTTGAGATTTTACATTTGTCTGATCCAAGAAAGATTACAGGAAGAAACAATGCCAACGAGAATTATTTTCTGGCAATAGATGATGTTTTCAATTATCAGTAGGCAAATACTTTAGGCAAGTGGCTCTCCATCAACTTCAACATTAATCATAAATTTCAGAGGCTATGTCCACAAGATGTTGATAAATATGATCACATGAAATATGTCATAACTGCTTATTAGATGATCTTTTCACCAATTATTGATTAAACGACTGAAACATGTTTGACAAACACCAGAGATCAAAACACCACACCTAGATCAAGTAGACCAAAGCATCCCATTAGCAAAGTCCAACAACATTTCTCGGTAGGTGAACATTCTTTGAATTTCTCGAGCAGTCACCGGGAGCCTGCCAACAAGTGAAACCTGAGCTTAAACTGCAGCCTAGCGCTGGAGATGAACTCACTCGTACACCAGAAACTGATTGACAAGCCATGGGCCAGAGCTCCACGTCAACTTCTTAATAAAAAAATCTGTGATTACCTCCACTTGCATTACATGAGTTAAGTGCTAATTATGATGTGTTGATATGAAAACTAAGTTAGCCTCTCATATAGATAATAGAACACTTGGATTCCAAAGGGGTCAAGTATTATATATTAATCCAATTAGCAGTTGTACCTACATCGTAGCAGTTTATTTTCTTCCTTCCTTTTCTAAAGATAGACAACCTGGCCAAACATTCTGCATGGTGTGATTAGATTTTAGTTAGATATTTCACAATGAAATAAAAAAAAAAAATGATTTGGAAGTGAGGATTATTGTTGAACTGGTTTGAATTGAATGCCCAAGGCACAGCATATATAAATGTAACATTTAGCACCTAATAAAAAAACTAACCTTCTTCTCTTTCCATATTCAAGTGAAAGTGACATAATTACGATGCAAACAACTCAAGTATTGAAATCCTTTCCAAATAATTTAGAATTAAAATGAAAACATTAATAAATATTATAACATTAAAACAAAATATTTCATTAATATATTATATTTAATTCATATTTGTACTTTTGATTTACATATTTCATTATCTTTACTAAACCATAGGCAGACTAATTGTGGATTTGGAGAAAAAACCAATCACTATAAATAGTAATAAAACAGCACTTACAATGCGCCATCTATCTAGCGTGCTATTCCGAAGTGCAGTAATTCTCGACAAAAAGAAAAAGTATTTAGATTGGGACCTCAGGCTTTTTAGGTAATATTCCCTTATTGAATTACTTTTGTATTATTTTATGTTTTAAGTATGAAATTTAAGGTGGAACTAATAATATATGATATTAGATGGCAATTACCTAAGTAATTAGAACAAAGATAGTAGCTGTAGTCAAATAATAAAAAATAAATAAAAATGAGTAGCATTGTGCTTATGACTAACACATTGATTTAAGACACAAGCTTTCGCTAGCTTCAGGAAGAAGCCAGCTTGTGTCTCAAATACATTTGTTAGTCCAAACAAGGTGCAACTTGATTTATGTTAGCTATACTACCTACCCGGGCTTCTTTTTTTGCAACGTTTGGATGGGCTTTTTTTCGAAATGTGTTCTTTTCGTGGCTACTTTTGCAAAGTAAACAGAGGGGCTTCTTTTCAAAATAAATCGTGTGAATTTTGGGAATTACTAATATAAAACAATAAATAGGGCTACTGTAACATCAGTCTGTATCATGGAGTGTATTTACCGGCATTAAATTACCTAAACTTCTATTATAAACCAAGTATGTTTTTAAATTATTTTGATTTTTCATGTACAGTGTATGTACTGTGTTAACTCGAAAAGAAGCCAATGCTTTCTTAAAAGGAAGCCCATGGGGTTGTTTACGAGATGGGCTTCTTCTTGGGATTAAGCCCACTGGGCTTCTATTCGAGGTTTTACAATATCACTGTAAAAAAAATGTAATGATTTTTGCATAAACTTATACACATTAAATTGCTAGTATTTCTATGCTTTAAAACAGTAACATTTTTATGTGAATAAAAATTTGAAACAAGAGCTTTCTTCATGGGCAATATAATCGCAAATTGTCCAGGAGGATTTAATTATAAGCAAAAGTAGTGTACTGTGGCCCAATTCTCACGTTCTCATTATTATCAGACAGAACTAACTCCTCTTATTCATTCATGTATTTCAACGCTCTAATCTGGGCTTTCATTACGATTCACTATTCCTGTGTATGTAGGAAGAGGACATAATCCTCAAAAATGCCGCAAACAATATTTGATATCGCTTCATCATGGATGACGTGAACGAGGCAGACGACGGGAATGCAGCAGACCACAAAGATGAAGCAGACGTCATAGATAAATACACGCAGACGATGAACATGTTCAAAACTTTGCGAATCCTAACCTTTGTTTCAACAAATTATAAAAAAAAAAAAGGACATGAAAAAATGTGATTCTGAAAATTTCATGGTGAAAAATTTTAGATATGAGATTATGAAAAATTATCAACTTGGGAAAAAATATTACAAATTGGAACAGACTTCACCTCTAATGTACTAGGTTTTATGTCAGAAGTGGTTAAATTTTAAATGGTAATAATATGTGGAAGGCTATCATTGATTAACTATTTGGGTGATAAAGTGTATATATGGTGAGTGCAAATCTACTGAGAATACTGGTTGGGTATTAAAAGTTTCAAATTTTGAGGCCCCTAATTTGTATTTTATGCCGGGAAAAAGGGACTTCACATTAAAAATTGTTACTTTCTCTTCTTCTTCCTCTGTTTTACTTGTCAAGGGTTACACCGAGCCCTGTCTGCAAATTTTGGTTGTAAAACTGGCTGAAGCAAAGCCATTACTCTTTTTCAATAAGTTTAATAGACTTTGAATACAAAGTAAACTCATACGCCTGGGGACAATTTATTGATTATGTATTAAAGGCACCATACAAATACAACTACATTACATAATAGTTGGACCATTTCTAAAAGTGCACAAGCTATTGATTCTATTTCAGCTCTTTGCTGCAAGACTAGGAGAGAGATGAAATTAAACGTTTGGCATCAGCTAAACAGAGTTGCTTGAGGATACATTTAAAGGAGTTAAGCTGTCTGGCAGTGGCAGGGCGTCTGATAATTTCCGGTGGAATTCTGTTGTCCAGGTGTTAGACTTTATGTGGGAGGGCATCTACAGACACTGGCCAATCAAAAACAACTTTAAAAAAGAGAGTAACACAAATTGTTTTCTTGTTTTTTTTTGGTTTTTTTTCGTTTTGGCAAATGGCAGTATATTGGAAGGGGGTAACTTCCCCTGTGAAAAGGAATAGGCGCCTCCTGCTGATGCTGCCACTGGCAACATGGTGTGACACACGAACACGCACCATTTTTAGCAGAGATATGCTGTTTTCTTTTTTCCTTGACAAACCATTTCAAAAGGGCATATATTTCATGATCAGGTGTTTTTACATCAGCTTTAAATATCCAAAATACTTTTAGAACTTTACAAAGGTGAAAGTAACATTATCATCATTATAATAAGCTTTCTTTATCATTTATATCAATCTCCTCATATCTGATACAATACACAAGTGTGCACTGTTCTCATGTCATTAAGCAGATCAACTGCCAAGTCACATGACTTAGAGGATCAAGCGGATTACACCTGACCTGACTTCAAATTAGTCTGTATCCGTTACCCTCAGAATGTATCATGCTACTGAATGTATGGAATCAAGTGATGTGAAATGAAATAATGAAAGATATCAAATCATGATCATATAAACTTTAGTAAATGTGTTTTAAAAGTTGGATATGAAAATAATGGTATTCTTCATATTATTCATGCACTAAAATTTTCACCATATCATCAACTCTGTCTATGCTGTATCATTGTTGGTCTCTTGGCTAAAACTGAGTTACTTGTTTTCATAGGCTTAGTCCGGCCAGCAAAAATTTAGGAGGGCCACTTTTACCTGACAGGTTGGACAGCTTGGCCTAATCAGCTCGGCCTAGCCTAATTGGGCCTGGTCTACCTTTAGCAAATTCTTTATATTCTTCAAATCTATCGAATGTTAAATTAAACTAAAGCTAAATCATATTTACGTTTTATAAAAACAACTTTTATTGACTGAATGTATGTTATTTTCATACCACTAATATATTCGGTGAGAATTCCCAAAAATGTAAGGTGGCTTAACCGTTGTCTACCTGGTGAAAAGTTCACTTACAAACACGTGTCGTTTTAAAAGCATTTATACCCCGCTGGAAAATGGACGGTTCTGAATGCATGTGGCTCTGCAAATACAATACTGTAGGCCTACTTGAGATTCAGTTTCCCGGCATAGTACTGTTGGTGTTCATAACTCTCTGGTTAAAATTAATTCATGAAAGACCTTAAAGAAGATTTGTTGTTAACCTTACAACTTAAATTTTATTAGTCAACAAAATACAAAAAAAAAAATTCAGTAGGTCAAGGCCTATCTCTCGATTCGGAGGACCTATAGTAGAATTTAGACTAAAGGTAAGAGATGAAGATGCATCTGCATAGCCTAGAAATACTGTAGCCGTGCGCAATCTATTCATGGTCTGCCCATCGAATTAGGGTCACGCCCACTCGCTTAAACTTTGGACGACCTATTTCATTTTTCTGGCTAAGCCCCTGATTGTTTTATTATGAAAATGTAAATAACTTGTTTATTCCTTTTTATAATTTTTCCAACAATGGGCAGCCCTTCCAGAAAAGCTGATATGCGGGTCTGCTTGGAAAACTAAAAATGAGGTAAAGTGGTAAAAAGGATGATTACATTTCAAACAGGTCAGATATTTAAATAAATATGATATCAATAACAATGCAACAATTAATGAAAATATTTATAGAAATGTTAAAAATAATGAAAGAACAACAGAAGCAACTGCAACAACAAAAGAAGGAGCAGCAACAGCAATGATAACAATGTTGTATTCATATTTAAGGTAATATGACAATGTTTCTCATTTTACAAATTTTATTTTATGATTAAAGTAGACATTAAATACATAAAATTGTTACAACTGGGATCGAGAAAACTGAAAGTACCTTAATATCAGACATATTTAATTCAATGTTTTTATTGCTTAATACCACCGAGGGCAGATATCCTCTCAAATAAAATTTTATTTGCAAGTCATCTTAAAACCAAGTACAAATAAAATGAATATCCAAACAAATTATTGATATCACATATATAATTTTTTTTATTTTTTTTTTATAGAACTTGAAACAAAGAATATTAATTTTAAAAATCCTTGCTTTAATATTTCAAAAAGAAATTGATTATGCATTTATTATGCAATTTGTAATGTGTCTGTACAATGTTTTAAGCCCAGGATATATTTTTTATGGACGACAAAAAGCCCTCCTCAAATTTCACTCTTTTTTGTGTGATCTCAAATGTGAGGTCTCACCACAAAATAAGACACATTGTTGGTGAAATAATATTTAATTTCCAAAAATAGGCCAAAGTTAAAATTTTTACACAATTTTGATTTAATGTTTCTGAATAACTTGATATGTATATTTTATGATTGATTATATACTTTTAAGTGAATTTTTTTACTAAAAAAGTGTTCTCTGCGCCAATTCTGTATGTACAGGTTAGTTTATCTTTGAGGCCGATTATCTCAAAACGTGGTTCTCATACACCTACACTTTAAATGCTCAGATCTCTGGATCTACTTATCCTAGGGAAGCCATTCAATGACCAAATTAAAATTTACAGTATAATGTGGTCTACCCAAATATACTGTAGTATCAACTCAATTTTTCATTTTTCAACCATGAAACTCATTTTGTGGTGAGACCTCAAACCTGGTCAATTTTGCAGGAAGAACAACCAATGTTCAATGTGAAAACGGCTTAAATCTTGATCTTGAAAATTGAGTAATTGAAAATGCCAAATAAGTCATTTTAGCAGCATATTTTACTCAGTTATATTTTCAGATTAATTTGATTAATATTCATGAGGGTTTTGCTGCCCTCAATATTCAATAACTTAGAGGACTACCTAATTTACATATGTTGCTTTCCAGGTGTGCTGACAAAGGTTCACTGGGGGAAAGCTAGCTCTCCATTGTAGTAGCAGAGTTGGTGAAGTCATCTAAGCTGTACTGGATCAAGTTTTGTTGATATGGTACTTAATTTGGTGAGTTACTCTATTCAAATTTATAAACTGTTAATTGTGGTTATGTAGTAGGCATAGCATTTAAGAAGACTACTGGGATTGGACAGATATAGTAACAAAAACAGTCAGAAAATGATGGTCAAGATTTCTAAATAGAAGTGGTACATGGAAAATAAATTGTATGTAGACTAGTCAGTGGCATATCTAGGGGGTGCGACCCACAAAAATACTTGCCCCCCCCCCTCCTCCTTCCCATTTTCCCACCAAAAAGATCAAGTAGAATAAAAATCACCTCAAATCACCTTATTTTGGGAGCTACAGTACCTCCTCTCACCTATAATTAAATACTTCATGTAAATTATATTGTTTCTATTATTATTATGGAGAAGGAAGAACCAAATATTGCTAGTGATGGTAAGGCCTTAATTTATGCCTATGGATATTATTCTGACATGCCGCAGTGCATGAAGACAGCAAAACTGATATTTATATTAGGGTCAAGCCCCCTCCACTAATTGAAAGCTCTTGTTAGAACAATATCTATGGCCTCAATTTATTTACTGTTTTTTTTACTACCTTGTTAATTACTCTAAATTTTAAGTATCAAAGGTGGATGTGTTGGGAGAGGGGGGGGGGTGTGCACTCCCCTGAAAATGTTTTAAAGTTTACATTCCCAACTGGCACATCTCACTTAAATTTGTTGAGCTAAAAAAGAATATTTAAGCAGTTAAATCACCTTATTCTTGTATCTAGTCTCCCCTTGCTTTCTCACCACACCCATGCCTGCCAATGTACAGATACTCCATTGTCAAATGAACCCATCAAGATTTGCTCCATTTCCCCCAGACTATTTGCAAACCTTTACCAAATGTATCTGTTTTCTGAAAACTATATAAGTGACTTCAATACAGATGCCAAATGAAAGTATAATAATAAAAAAGAGAGTGTACTAATGCAATTAAATTTTTACAAACATTTGGAGAAAACAAAACTAATTCAAAGCCCAAGTTAACGTCCTATATCAACCAACTGGAGAGCGTTCTCATTAAATGAACCTAATGAATGACACACTTATTTTTTTCATAATTAAGATACCTAACAAATACCCTGAAGATATAATGCAATATGGTTATGATTGCTCAATACCCATTTCCTATCTATAATCATACAATTTTTTTTTCTAGACGGCTGGAATAATTGACCTCGAAACTGAACAAGTACCATGGGTAAGCAAAAACTTCCTGTCTTGAGTTGAATTATAGGAAATGCACTTTGGAAAGGGAATTCCTTCCCTTCCCATAAACCAGGTCACCCCTTTCCCACTGGGAATATTTTACAATTCCCCCTTCACACTCAATATATATATATATGTCTGAGCCATGACCTATTGTCAGGTTTTGGTTATCTCCTTTCCAAATTTTTTTTTGCAATGTGATCTGCTGTAAACACAGAATGCATAATCCCCTCCACTCCCATTGAATCCACTACTTAGCACTGCATGGTATGGCTGTAATAATACTGTGGAAAATTTACAACCCTGTCAAGTAGGGATATTGCCATCCTGGGTGTATCTTGCATTTGGGAGGAAGCAACACCTAAATTGACACAAGAAAAAATCCGAAACTACTGTCAGTGAATGTACCCTGCCAACAAAAAAATCATGTCCACGGTCTTTCTCTAGGTAAAGCCGGTTTTCCACTGGGCGAATTTATTCGCGCGAATCGAAAGCGTCGTTCATACGCATGCGCATTCCCATTTCTATCAGAGTTTTCACTTCAGTGAAATTGGTAGTTCAAACTGTTTCTACTTTTTGGGAAGCGAAAAATGTGCGCAACCAATCAGCCATAATATCGGAGCTGGTCCAAACGGCACGCTCGTCTATGGTTGTTTTAGTGGAACAAGTTTTCTCGAATAAGGATTATAAACCGTCGGCCCAGTGTACACAAATTGGCTTGTGTGCACTTTAAAAAACCCATTACATCTTTTGTGAAGAGTAATACATACAGCCCCTGTAGTGGATAGATTAAAGTGCTCTGATAAAAGACATTTACTTTTTAAAGAGCAATTTATGATAGAACTATATTTAATTGCACTAAAATCATGAAAAATACATTTCAATATATGAATTGCTTTTTAACTCTATATATTGAAAATAAGTTAGTAGCACCTAATTTAAAGTAGAGTAAATATTTCCACACTAATTAATAGCGGTATAAATAATACAGTTCCTATATTCATTGCATAGACACTAAAACTGGCGTGTAATCAATTTAAGGATTATCGTAGTAAAGTTTGTAAATCATCGGAAATTAAATGCTTCTCTCTGTGTCTTATTTGAGGTTTATTAATTCATTTAATTTTTTAGGGTTTTGCCAGATTTTACCTCGGATTCTATATCCAAATGCCAAGACTGGATCCCGAAAACTCAATTTAATATTCCGTTTCCGAAATGTTCTGTTGAGAAATCTATCAAGTAATTAGTGTGCCAGACAAACAACTGTCACACTGGCTCAAATTTTGACTAATATCCTTACAAACTTTATTACCATAATTCATAATTGTATTAAAATATATAATGCTTGCCAAGCCACTGGATGGAGTGTTTACTAAGATTTCTCAATTCAATGAATATCATTTCCCACACAAATATACATAACTGTAGTTGTGACATAGTTATATAAGTTTTGATGATATATAATTGATAATGGGTAATAAATTCTAGTGTACATTTACAGAAAAAATGAAATTATGAATTGAAACACCTTGTTTTGAATAAAAAAAATACTTTAATAATTGAATAATGATAATTGTAAAAAAAAAAAAGATAAGATATATACTATAAATATAATAATTTTAGGAAAAACTCCGAATGCCTTGCAATTAGGTAAAAAATTAAAATCCAATTCGGCTTTGTTCAAACGAAGAGTAATCTTTTCATATTTTCTTAATAAAGAAACTGGTAATCTTCTTGAACTGAAATCCTTGATAATAAAACCAAATGGACGTAAGTTGACAAAAAATACAACGCATTTTAAAAATAACACAAGATTTAATGGAAGACATGTTTTGGGTTACCTTCAACCCATCATCAGTTAACAAAAAACACAACAGAAATGAACCAAATACTTTTCATGTAGACTATATGTATATAGGTAATTATTATGCTGAATATTAAATAGATAGATTGATTTGATTTCCATTAAATCTTTTGTGTTATTTTTAAAATGCGTTGTATTTTTTGTCAACTTACGTCCATTTGGTTCTTTTATCAAGGATTTCAGTTCAAGAAGATTACCAGTTTCTTTATTAAGAAAATATGAAAAGATTACTCTTCGTTTGAACAAAGCCGAATTGGATTTTAATTTTTTATATAAATATAATAATAATGAACAAAATAATAATAGCCAGTATTTTTCTGTATTTGAAAGGAAAAATCTTGTTTTTTTTTTCTAAATAGTACATTAATAATTGAATAAAGATGATTGTAAAAAAGAGCTAAAATAAAGACAGGCCTACTATAAATATAACAATATTAAACAAAAAAATAATATCCAGTATTACTACATCTTGGTACCTTATTCAATATTTGAACATGTAAAATTAAATTTACAAAATAAAAAAATCTATAAGAGCCAAAATCTGAATTGAGTATTTAATTTACAGATTAAAATTTGCATACAAACACATTATTTAATACTACGTATTTTTGTATAAATTTTACTCACATATTCCGAGACTGATTACCTAATAATAGGAAAGATCTGTGCCTCCCGGGAATACACACAGTTCACAATATCATCCAATCTAAAAGAATTTACTCTTAAACCTTCATTAATAGTGACAAAATGACAAGTGTTGAGGTCTTGGTGACATATTTTTCATCATCTTCTGGCGTATATTTTGTTGCATTGTCATTCCGCGTATGCCTCCCGCCAATTAGAAGGCTGAGAGGTGGTTTTATATACTTTGTTGAATTCACATTCATTTTTAATTACTTCATGATGAAAGAGGATGTCCTAATATTATATTTTATATAGTTTTATTGGAACCATATTTTTTGAACATTTTGAATTTTAGATATATTTGGAAACATAAAGTAGTAGTGATGCCAGGTTTTGTCTGATGGAAGGATAAGCTGTTCGACAGGCGCTTAACATTTTTTGACAAAGTCTAGCTGGGTCTATGGGTGAAGCCTGCATGTACCTAGAAAAAACCAAAACAATTTTGGACCCTTTTAAGATGTTGTGAGACATTTTGCACATGATAAGGATAAGATTTATAAAAAAAAAAAATAAAAAAAAAATTTGGTTCTAAGAATCATAAAAATGGGGGAAGGATGGAGTGCATTTTCTGACTTCACTTACTGGAAACCCCACCCCAGCGGTGGTGGATCTAGGATTTAGCAGTGGGGGATGGGGTGGGGGGGGGGGGGGGGGGGGGGGGGGGGGGGGGGGGGGGGGGGTGGTGGTTTTGGGAGGGGCATCCCATCACATTTGAGATTTTTTTGGAATTAGTAGACTGCTAGATGATCTTAGGTGGCATCTGAAAAGAAGTAAAGCTTAAAATACAAAGTGTATGTTTTACCAGAGTACATGAGAAGCACACAAACAAGACAAGTGACCATTATTTTATTTTTCACGTTGAACGAAGGGTGGGGGGGGGGATGGCTAACCACTCTACTTACCCCCTAGATCCGCCACTGCCCAGGCAACCTATAAATTAAGCTGAGCACTCACCACAGAGCCATAACTCCCAACAACACCCTCCAACACAAAATCATGACTAATATATTTAAAAGGTATCTGCTATGTTTTCAAAAACAAAATATTACAATTGTCAATGGAAAAAAACAAAATTACATCTTATGCAACAGGTTTGATTTTCTTTCAAATACACAGCTACACACTTGATTTATGTCACTTAATCTTGTGTACAAACAAACACTATACATTAAACATGAACTCGCATATCACTAATCCACTAATTAAATAAATAATTTATCATGAAGTAATTATACATAACTCACTCATGAGTTCTTTGTGCAACACTTGCGTGCCGATGTTGACAGTGTCTAGATCAATGTTATGAAGTGTCTGCTGATTGGGCTGCAAATGCAAACGTCCAATTTTCAAGTATATTGGTTTTAATTTGGCGCGTATTGCCTGGTGACATGAATAGGGGAGTTTGGTTCGTCACTAAGCACCATAGGGATATTCATCATAAATCTAGCTCATTTCCTTGTGTCTAAAATGTTTCAATGATATTATTATTAACCTAGAAAAAAAAACCGTGGGGGGATTGTAAACTAATGAACTCTGGAGTTCTGTATGTGGGATAAAATTGTGCAATCATTGCAAAACCGTATATAAGCCTTACAGTTAAATATAATGTAATGAAAGAATATAATGCTTCAGCTGTACAGTAGTCGCACGTCCTGTTCAAAGGAAAAGAAAGTGGAAGAAATTTGATGAGTTGCCAATTGATGATAGAATCTTGATACCTTTAAGCTACTCAACGTTAGATGCCTCATGCTAGACGTCTTGAATCCTAGATGCCTGTATGCTAACAAGATGCTTCTACACTGGATATCATTGTGATAGATGCCTGGTGACACCTGGATGATAAATGCCTGTATGTTAGTGTCTCTTTCCCAGAATCCTAGATGCCTGTATGCTGATTAGATGCCTCTACGTTAGATACCGTTGTGATAGATGCATGCTGACACCTCGATGCAATGCCAGTATATTGCATGCCTGTACGCTTGATGTCTTTAAGCCGGATGTCGGTATGTTGGATTACCTCTATGCGTGATGCTCCTATTTCTTCACAGAATGTGAATCCAATTGACAATCCCCAACTTCGATAAGGGTACAAGTTTTTAATATGACTTTAAGCACACAAGTTTAAATCTTTCTATAAACAGTGGGGCTATATTAACTTGCATCGAACGCCTCCATGACTCAGCACACAGATGGGGGCACAATCAAAGTGATGAAGTGTCAGGGCAATGAGATGACAACTATTTCAGTGTACAATTTGTTCAGCGGGGGTGGAATTATGGGGTGTTGCAAACCGTTTTTGGGGAGTGTGACACCTCCCACCCACAGCCCACCTTCGATATGCCACTGAAAAGTAAGAATCCTGTAGAATCACTTTCACCCTGGTACTTTTTCTGTTTTGTTTTATTATTCTGGGAGTTCGTATATTATTAAGGGATATTGAGGAGAAAATTGATCTGGGGTATAATGTCAGGGTTAATTCAAGTTGTCAATGCATTATATATTTCATTCATTAATGTTCAGCTTATCAGTTGTTTAGGGAAAATTAACTTTCATAGCCCATAATTCTCTCTTGACATATTTGACCTACATTTTTGTTTTGAATTATGTTTTTTTTTCTAATTTTGAAATATAACCCTGAAAGTTTTAAAAAAAAAAATAAATAAATGAATCCAAAGTCTAATGCAAAATGTACATCACACTTTTTAAACCAGACTCTGAACAAGGAGTGATTTGAACTTCAGATCACATAAAATTAAAGAGTATGTATCATATTCCCAGTGCTCCATTGATTTCCAATCATCATACATTTTAACTTCTGACTGTACATAAAAAAGGAAAATGACTTTTATGTGGTTGATGTGACTCAGAAAGCAATTATTAAAAAGAAAAAAAAAAACCTCTCTAAGATTATTTCAAGAAATAACCGTCTGTAAACTTCCATCAAAGTAAAGTGATATAAGTTGGGATCAGTCACTGATGAAAAATAACTAACTTCGTTTTAAAGATTTGCTGATAGCGAGTGCTATATCTATCAGTACTTCTAATGCCATCGACATATGTGATGAATTCATCTGTCACTCGGTTGTTGTTCTTCTACGTATTAACCTCAAAGTTTGAATGATTTTGTAACGTCTGATATAATTTTATCAAATTCAAGCATATATCACTTGATTTAAAGTATAATAATCAAATTATGAAGTGTTTATATATAAAGAAATCTGTATATATAAAGAAATCTTGAATAATGCAGATAGGCTCAGAACTAAAGAATGCATAAAATGTGTGTAAATTTATCATATTTGAATTTCCATTGCAATTTAAAAAAAAATAAACATATAATTTTACCTGGTCTTACTTTAATGGAAATAATTATCCATTGGAACCAAAAAACAATTAAAATATTTCTTTAATTTGTTTTATCTAGTTTATGAGAAGTCAACCATTCTCAAATAAACCACCAATGGATTTATTTCATATCATTATTTATTTGGTCTTTCAAATATTGTACACAACAGAAAGTTTATGCTGCTGGGTTGGTTTCTGTAAGTCATGTATCTCTGCTACAAAAAAAACAAAAAAACTAAAACAAGACGTACTCATTGCATTTGTTTTATCTACGTTTATGAGAAGTCAACCATTCTCAAATAAACAACCAATGGATTTCTTTAATTTCATTATTTATTCGGTTTTAGAAATGTACATAACAGGAAATTTATGCTGTTGGGTTGGTTTCTGTAAGCCATGTATCTGTGCTACAAAAAAAAACAAGTACTCATTACATGTACATATTTTTTTTATATGTAATTGTAATAAAAAAATGTTGAGTCATGTCTTTACTACTGTAAAAAGATGACTGGCCCAGACGTTTCCTAAAAAACGTACACAACCCACTAATTAAAAGCCGTGTTCAAGTGAATTTACATGATGTCTAAACAACATTGAGCAGAATCAAACAAAATCTGTTTACATGTAGGATAGTTTTATTAAAATGCTTTGAGGTTTAACTTACCCATGTTAAAAGTGCGATCACATCCTAACCATGTGACTGGTTTTGGCAAAACCCTACATTTTCGCAATCTCTAATTTCGCGCTAACACCCAAAACGACAAAAACAAAAAAAAAACAAAAAAACATAAATTTCGGGTTTTTGCAGTTATATCAAAGCAGATACATTGGAAGAACATTTCTGCAAAATATTAATTGCTAAATCCAACTCAAAAGCATATTAAAATTATTATTAAAATACAAACCCTAATATTAAATTGTTGATTTTGGAATTTTTGAAGCTGTTTTCTCAAAACCTCGGCTAATATCCAGTTAATTAAATATTCATAACTTCGCTAATACTCAAGCAATTTCAATCAAATAGACACTATTTTAAATAAGAATTCATGCAGAATTTTAAAAATACCAAAAAAGTTAATATTGAATTTTCCCAACAAACGGTGGATTTTGTCAAAGACGGTCACATATTCCATGATGAAAATGCAACCTTACTAATTTATATATGAAAATTAATTTTAAAACAAAATTTATTGAAAAAAAAGAAGATCAACGTCCATCATGGACACAAAATCAGCCTTAATTATTTCTTTATATATAAAAGAGGTAAAGAAGTAAAAAAAAAAAATTGAAATAAGCCTTTAAATTTAAAAAAGAAAAAAAATTTAATACTAAATAATGATGGGGCATGACAAAATACTCTAAGAAATTATTCCCAACTTGGGGCCTCTACATGGATGGATCATTCCTTAATAATATTAGTATTCCATATTATATTTCTTATGTTAGTCATTAACAATTGTGTTTCAATTGAATATATATTTATATCTTAAGTTACTATTTTACAAGCAAATCCTAAGTATTATTACATTATTATACAAAGTTGGCAAATATCTCTATCCTTGAACCACATACATTTCTTCAATATAAACTGCTTTTTTTTTATACTTCTATTATGTTCATTCACCATCAGCTGTTTGAGCCACAGCTGCCATGCTGTACTGTAATTTGTAATGCCTTACCAGAAACTGTAAGACAGTCAAGCCCTCTGATAACTTTCAAAAAAAGAACTATATTTAAAGCAATTTTATATTGATCTGCATTGTCTGTTTCATGGGTGACATATATATATTTTTTTTCTGTCAAGAGGTTTTATCTATGGTGGCTACCCCAATTTTCCTCATTTTCAAGATTAGTTACTACTCATTGCAAATAAGTAGGGGAAGCTTCCAAAAAAGGTTCCCCAAGCTTCTCCACTAAAAACCTGGTAAGCAAAAATATCCTCAACCTAGGTAAAAAAGAAAAAAAAAAAAAATTTAGAATAAAAAGGAAAGATAATTTTTACTTTTCATGTTCCCGAACTGTTGAAATTAAGCATTTTATAATCGATTAAATTAGTCCTCTAATCTGTTAAAAGGCCGTCCCTTCCAGTGGTTTCGCCCAGGCTGGCCACCAGACCCTCAGGAAATGGGCCCGGCTAGCAAAGCTGCCTTGGGGCCCATAGCCGCTCTCGGCAGCCTGGCATTAATGTTTTCATCTTCCTTTTCGATAATAAATACTGTACCGTAATAATGCTAGAAAGTACCAAGTTTATATACCGTAGTTTCAACATTGCAATCAATGTCATTCTTGCACCTGATGATAACACCTATAAATACAGTCAAAATGAGAATCTTGTGAAAGCGTAAAGATGAGTTTGTTTGTTTGTGAGAAACGTGAGTCTAAGGTGATGTATTTCAGATATTCCAGTCATTCATTATTTAATTAATTAGTCTGCCAATTATAGCTTACATCATTTTTATGTTCAATGACTTTATGACTTTTGAGAGGTCAATGTTTATGCTTAACCTACATGTGTAGGAAGTTCAATTTGTTTATTTCTATGAAAGACTATGCAATTAATATGGTCCTTGTTTGCTATTTGTAAAATCTTCTTAATATTTTAGCTTAACTTTGTTTGTAATTTGTTAGTTTTAAGTGTCTATTTATTATTATCCCTTTTACTACCATTTTAATGTGTAATATGTGACCGACTCTGGCAAAACAAGCCATTTGTAGGAAAAAAAGCAAAATTTAGTTTTTTTTGTGATTTTAGATTCTGCATGAATTCTTTAATTTTATTTGATGGAAATTGGTCGAGTATTACGGCCGTTCCAAGACAAAACAACGTAACTGCACAAAAATATAATAGCAGGCGTAGTTTTGCCATAGGATGGCCGATTAGCGAAGTTATGAATATTTAATTTATTGGATATCACCCATATAGGTTTTTAAAAAACAGCTTCCAAAGAAAAATTCCAAAATCAATAGTTTATTATTAGGATTTGTATATTAAAAATAATTTTAATTTACTTTTCAATTAAATTTAGTGATTGATATTTTGCAGAAATGTTCTTATATCTTCTTTTTATGATGCAAAAACACGAAAATGTTAAATTCTGATTTTCAAACATTTTGGGTGTTTGTGTGAAATTATAAATTGTGACAAATGGCTGGGTTTACCACACATATATCTTTATATCTGTAATTTTTTTTTTGTGTAAATTTTACACAATTTATTCGTTGGCTATGTAAGTTATATTTTGAATCTATTTTGAAATGTTCACTTATTAATATTATCAATGTGAGAATGTGGAGTTCTAAATCTTACATTATTTCACTATTTGAAATGTCTAATTTTGTATATTCAAGTTAGATATTAAGTTACAGTTGAACATTTGAATGAGAAAAGGCTGCCAATTCAATAATGCCTTTCATTTTGTATTCTTTGGCATTGGCCATTAAATTGTAAATTGGCTGGTAATCAACTTAAGGATTTTAATTGTAAAATGTACGTAGATCAGCAACAACTTTTTTTTTTAATCTGTTTATAGTTAATATAAATTAATAAATATTTGATCATTTTAAATGAGCTATTCAAAATTGAGGTTTTTCTCAATTCATTTGGCAGATAGTTTTTTCTCAATAAATAAAAATTATCAAATCAAATTTGATAGTAAAATAAATATGCAATACAGGTTACTATGATGGGCCTAATAACCGTAGACAAATCCGTCGTCAGACACTGCCTAAACGACACGGGTCTCTGGACTCACAACTGGTTTTTATAAAGTACATATTGAAACAAATGCTCACACACCCCCCTAAACGGTTGAGTTAATTTCTGCTAGTTTTCAGTCAATTTTGACTAATGTCCGCAGAGGTAAGCCAGATGTTGTATCCAGGTGTGTTAGTGATTGGCTAACTCACCTCGTACACCGAAGGAAATCAAATGCCTGGCATGCATCTTGCGTTAGTCTCACGTATGTATGATTTAAAATTTGAAACAAGGTTATAGTATTAGTATATCATGTATTATCGCTCAGGGAACGAGATTTCCTTTTTAAAATGTTAGGAATTGAGAACAATGAGAAGTGTGACAGCACTTGAGCCGTAATAATAATGTAATAATGTATTAATGAAAGAAAAAATGTCTTTATACTGTAAACGATGATATTGATAGTAGTATTTTGTTAAACTACATAAAAAAAAAACAATAGTGCATATTCTTTGAAGTTGTACGATGGAATGTAATCCAATGGCTTATATTTAAATGAATAGTAATTATTGTAATTATCTTAATAAATATCAATATATTAAAAATATGCATTATAATAACAATGATGACTGTTACATTAATCAATGATAATAGTATTTATGTTAATAATGACTAACTATATTTAAAAAACAATAGTATATTAGTGTGATACAATGCAATCAAATGGCTTAAATATGTGAATAATATATATTATGAATTAAGAGACGCTTACTATATAATTTCAAAACAAAATTTAATGACAAGAAAGATCAATGTTTCGGGTCCATCATTGAACCATTCTCTTGATTTTGAAAATGGTTCCATGATGGACCCGAAACGTCGATCTTTCTTGTCATTAAATTTTGTTTTGAAATAATATATACACCTTAATAAATATCATCAATATATTAATAATATGCATTATAAACAATAATAATGCCAGTTATAGTAAAAATTATATTATTTACGTTAACAATGACTAACTATATTTAAAAAAACAATAGTACAGTATATATTATTAGTGTGATGCAATCAATCAAATGGATATATGAATAATTATCTTAATAAATATCAATATATTAATAGTATGCATTTGATTATAATAATAACCTAAATAAGGTTAAATATTTAATAATAACATAATAATAATATCAATGAAATATAATAATAGAAGACAACTATTAATTACCAATATAAAATATCTTCCTTAAACTTGCCAAAAAAAAATCATTCGTCAGGAAATTAGATGTTATTCCCATCCTCAATAAATTAATATCAAAATCATCATCACAATCACATGATGAGTTTGAACACTAAACAAATGTGTCAGCAAGGGTAAATGAGTAAATTGCTGTCCAAGTATGAAAAACAAATATTTTTTGTGGCCATCTTCTTGAATAATAAACTTTGATTATCATTCATTAGCACTGGGAAGTGAGTCACTTCATTACACACGTTATTAAACCTGTTGATGCTGAAGTGTGGGTATTCCCACGAGTTGATGTCATAATTAATATTTAACTTTGAGCCCATATTCTTATTACTTTTGAGCTTCTACTGTATATTTGACTTATTGTTCTTTTTTATTTCATTTCATTTATTATTTACAAGGTAAACATTTATATATACTCCGAGAAGGTTGGTTTTTATGACGACCGCATCTACCTGGTTGGCAGCACCCATCAACTGCAAATGACAAAGCACGATATGCAGGGGATGTTTCTTCCATTCTAAGGATGTGGCCAAACATTAACCATCGGGATTTTGTAACACATTTACATAATATAAATAGATAAAAATCATGCATAAGGATAGCAAACTAAAAGTACACCTAATTCTGTTGAAAAAATAAAAAATACTGCAAAAGTTAATATTCAGATAAAAATTATATAAAATTTACATTCATAAATTTGTACAAGAAACTCTTGATTCACAAAATCTCACACATTTTGCACAAACACTATAAATGCAATACAAATGGGAACATGGGACTGGGGCATTAGAGTTAAAATAAAGACTTGTTCAGAACAGTGGCGTATCCAGGGTTATGTGGGGGTGCATCCACCCACAAATACCCGCACCCTCAATCTCCCCCAAAAATTATGCTCAAGCTAAGTTGAAAATCACCTCAAATCACCTTATTTTGCAAGCTAGCACCCTCTCACATAATCATGAATCCTCTATTTCACCTCGCACCCCCATCAACCCCCTCCCCCCCAATTTCAAGTATCCTAGATATGCCACTGGAAAACATGATATTTGATGTGATGTTCAAATGCTGCATGATTAGAATTCAGGAATATACTTGTTCAACAGGAATATATGATAGTTCAACATTCTGTTGTTTGTATAAATAGACAATGACCACCGGTGATGACTGCCAATCATACCATGATTCACGTACAAATTGAATCAGAAGGAATTGGTCAGACACTTAATTGCAAAGATGACAACCTCGTACTTTAATTGACCCAACCTTGGCTCCTTTGCCTTTCACCATGCCTGTACTTCAGAGTTGACGGACCATGCATGGTGGCTCCGTACGGCTACAGACGGTACTCTAAACAACCAGGTTAGATGGCACCGCCCAGTTAATATAGACTAAGTTTAAAGCCAAGCTCCGGAGGAAAACAAAATGTTTGATATGTTGTACAACTGATTTTTCTAAGACAAACAACGTTTGACGAAAAAACTCGGGAACAGTTAATGAGATAAACTTTTTGAATATTTAAAAACTGGGGGGGGGAAGGGGCGTGACCACCCTTTTTCCCCCCTCCGGAGCCTGGCTTTAAACTTAGGGGTACAGTAGTATGTTGGTGTTGCACAATTACACACACATGAAACTTGATAGTCCTATTTTGAAAGTTCCACATGAAAAATCCAACCATTAACAATACGGATGTGAGATATTCGAACAGTGTGATACTTATAATTTTACACTTGGCAAAATTCTACTGAACAGAGGGCTAAAAGTTTTCAGAACCTAATCAACTGAAGTACTTATCCAAGCTTTTGAAGAATGCCATATACTTGGGACCAACTGATGTATTACTATTAAAGTTTGCGTTAACTTGCGGTACATTTCCAGCTGATTTTCCTCAAACACCACATTAAAGAAATCCTTAATCTCGGTCACCTTTAATTGATTTTTTTTTTATAAAGACCACAGTGTTTCCCCTCAACTCTAATTTTAAGTCACGACCCTAACAACTAAATTCCATGTTGAGCATTCAAGGTTCTCGCTTCCACCTGCCATGACCTCATCATGCTTACGAAGCAGCATCTTAAACCACAAACTACGGCCTGTGACTCACTTCATCAATGGTACTGTTATCACGAGTTACAACACCCTTAGGCAATCACTAACTTTCCTTCAACCATATAATTTCAATATAAATATATAAAGTGTTTAATGATAATTTATATATCTGAGCAATTACCACTAATGGGTATGCGGTTCAATGAACCGAAGTTTCTAGATTTGATGGCATTCTTTTGATGATCAGCTGGTGGTAAAAAATTAGTGATTGCTTTACATTCCTGAGAGCCATTGCATCAATCTCCAGTAGTGTATCTAGTCTTGAAATGGGGAGAGACGTGAAGGTGAATGTGGGGCTTGGTGGTGAGGTGGTACTGACTCGCAAAGTAAGGTGATAATGAGGTAATTTTTATCTACTTGATCGTGATATTTTTTGCTTCAAACATTTTCAATGGTGGGCAACTGGGGTGATGGGGGGGGGGGAAATTTTTTTAGAGGGTGTGCACCCCACTGTCAATCTCTACTAATGCACAAATTTGTCTTATGACTGAATCCCATTACAATCCCACCAAATTCCTCATGGAGATACCTCCACTGTTTAATGCAACTCTTTCTATAATTTTATATAGTTTATTGTTTTAATTCTGTAATTGGCACCTTTTGATGCTGTTGAAATTTGGGCGAATTGAATAAATGTAAAAATGAATTTGTCAAAATATTTTTAATAATAAAATAATGGCCAACTTATAGAGCACATATTGTGGAGGCCTCTATGCGCTTAACATAAACATAAAAAAAGAACACTGACCAAGAACGGTAATACTTAATCTAACCCTAAAGACATACTAATCCTACTCTTTAGACCATTGACTTCAAGAAGCCCATCTTCCCTTTGTTCAGCTATTTTTAGCTATTGAAAACGTATACTGTAATTTAATGTAAACCTCAAATTTGATAAAATCTGTGTTGTCTATGTTACTGATTGAAGTTTGGGTTTATATGCTTGTACTATGTGATTTTATAATGTCCATATGTGTGAATCATAAATCAAAGAAGGGAAGAGATGGATAAAAAATTTATAAATGAACTAAATCTTAAATAATAAATATAAATAAATATAAGATATTTTAATAAAGGAATATAAAAATATTATTAAAGAAATATAGTACAGTACTCATAAATAATTAAATGAATGGATGTAATAATAAATATATAGATAAATGCTGAAATATATAATACAAAGTATTGGAATATTCAACCTGACCACACCTAAATAATTTATATTTAAATGAACTGCAATCTAGTACTCTACTAATAAAATAACCAATGTCTATTTTTTTTTATATATTAAATGGTCCTAATTAAAAGAGCTTGTATTTTGCATTGAATAATTGTAACAGCAGTGTCGAGCTACCATTTCTCAATTCCTGATAACATTGGTTAATACTATGTCTC